TTGAACCTCGGCCAAGGTGTTAAGCATCAGGCTGCTGTTCTCCTTTGAGCATCAGCGCAGACTGAAGTGGTGAGCAGGCAGCACCTACCCATTTGCAGATGGAGGAAATAAGGCCCAGAGAGGTTGTGCGTACCGGCAACTTGACGGCACCGGGACCGACTCAAGAACTTGTGAGTCCTGGCCTAGCGCCCTTGCCACAACCTCAGGCTGCTTGTGGGAGCCAGGCCACAGATGCCAAGGGCACTGATGGTGATCTGTCCTGAGGGACAGGCGCGGAGAAGAGCAATGGCAGTGACTGTCCCTGCACAGCTCCCTCGGCACGGTCACCATGCCTGGACCAGGGAGACCCTGCCGCAAAGCAGGACAATCTGAATCACCCCTGGCCCAAACCACGTGGCCACTGCCGCTCCCACCTCTAGCCCTACCAGCCACCGTCACTGCCACACCCTGCCTCTCCAGCTGGGGAAGGAACCATTCCAACTCGTCACCCCTACCTGTCATTCCCATTTGTCAAGTCACCCACATTTTAGGAGGAACTGGCTAGCTCCTCTGGCAAATCCCGGCCCGGCCTGACAGACCTGAGCAGCCAGTTTCTGAACCCTGGTCTCAGAGGACAAGCCCAGAATTCCAGGCTGCGGGTGGACAGAGGAAGTACCAGGCCAGGATGGGGAGGTGACCTGGAATCATCAGTTTTGGGGGGGGGGGGTGGCAGATGAGACAAGAAAAGCCAGAGGGCAGAGAAGGAAAGGTCTACCTCCTACCTGCTCTACAAATCCTAGATTGGTTCTACTCCACGAAGCCCACCCTGATCACCCCAGTGCCCACCAAGCACTCCCCGACTACCTGGGGAAGTCTTCTCTTCTGCTTTAACCACCAGGGCCAGTCACTTGGGCCTCCTCCTGTGTAGTATGAACTAAGGGGACATCTCTGTGAGGCTCTGTGGGCTGAACACTGAGCTGCGCATGTGACAGGTGCTCTGGACCCACTTTGATTACTAGAAACTGAAAGAGTTCGTTCATTCATTCAAAAAGTCATTAAGAGCAACCATCTTGAGTTAGGCTCTCTTCTAGAGGCTTGGCCTGGGGGCTGGCATTCTGGTAGAAGGCGAGAGCGCACAGACAGACAAAGGAGCAGATCACATGAGGCCAGGGCTGGGAAGAGAGCTGAACGCATGAATGCATGCATGGAGACCGGGGACAGGAGAAAGTGGGCAGAGGGTCCAGGGGAGAGAGCTCCCATCTTCCCGCCCCAGCTCCAGCCCTGCATCATGAATCACGATGGGAGCACAGACACTCTGCAGAGAACCAGCCTCTTCGGAAGTGGGGCGACCTGCTGGTCTGGCCTTGCTTTGGTAGCTGAGAGAAAATATTCTGGGAGGAGACATTTTCTTCTAGGTTGCTGGGAGCAGGGGTCATTTTTTCCCCCAGAAGCACCAGAAATAAAACAGGGGGGGACAGGGGGACTGGGAGCTCAGTCCACCACAAAGACCAAGGGCAGCTGATGAAGGGAACAGCTGCTCTGGGACATTCAGGAAAGTACGGAAGCATCTAAGTGCTGCTGAGGGTGCCAGGCCCCAAAGTCAGGGGTGAGGTGGGACTAGAGCCAGCAGAAGAATCTTTTTTTAAAAAAGATATTAATTATCTATTTGAAAAAGACAGAGAGAGAGCACGCGCACACATGAGCACAGGGAGGGGCAGAGGCAGAGGGAGAAGCAGATTCTCCACTGAGCAGGGAGCCCAATGTGGGGCTCCAATCCAGGACCCCAGGATCATGACCTGAGCTGAAGGCAGATCCGTAACCAACTGAACTCCCCAGGTGTCCCACATCTTCTCTTTCTTTTTCTATCTTCCTGCCTCCCTTTCTCCCTTCCTGCCTCCCTCCGTCCCTCCATCTCTCCACACCCCCCGCCCCCCCCTCCCGAAGTGACCTTCCCACTCCCAGCCCCCTCTTGTCCACTTTCCATGTCCTTTTCCTGCATGGCACTCATCACCCTCACACAGACCGTATAGTTCTCTATCCTGCTTCCTTTTGTCACCCCCCACCCCGCAACAATTTCCATGGGGACAGAGATTTACCTCCCAGCACCTAGAACAGTGCCTGGGACACAGGTGCTCAAAGAATATTATTCTCCACTTCCTCCTTCTCACTCTGCATGCATGCCGTGCTGTGGGCAGGGGATAGAGTTAGACATAAGACACATTCTTCTCTGAAAGGGGCTCATGGCCCCCTGGGGAATGGATGACTCCAGAAGCCCTTGGGTTCCCACGGAACACATCATCACCAGACTTCAATCCCAGCCCTTGCCTCCCGCCCTCCACTCTCCCTTGGCTGTGCATGTAGAGGTCTCTCTCTGCAACGGTGGGTACACCTACCTGAAACCAAACCTTCCTTCTGCCCTGCCCAGAGGGGGCCAGCAGCACGGTGCAATGAGATAGGACAGCCCCGAGTTGGAATCTCAACTCAGTTTCATCTGTAGGATGGAGATCCATTGTCCACGCTGCAAGGGTTCCACGGAGAAGCAGAACATGTCTAAAAGGTTTGGCCACGGCAAATATGTAATAAATGGCCCCTCTTGCTGGTATCGCTTCTGCATGTCTGGCTGGGTCTTGAAGCCGGCTGCTGCTTTTCCTGCTAAGGGAATGGTGCCCACGTGAATACGGCAGGGCTACATTTGAGTTCCCAGCACCCTGTTCAGGGGCTCATTCCTGCCTTTTACATATCTGGGATTCAAACTGGCAATGGTTTTCTGTAATCCAGCACCGGTGAGGGTGCATTTGTACCACACAACTCAGGAGGAACACACTTTGGGGGACTTTTTGCAACGTGTATCAAAGTGATTCAGCCTCTGGGAACTCAGCGAAACCCATACAAAGACCTATTACCCGGATGTTCACAACAGTGCTATTTACTACACCAGACAAACCCAAAGCAGCCCCATCACCTAACACTAGGGGTTTGGCTAGATAAGGCAGGGTATGTCCTGCCATTTAAAATGCTGTAGTAAACCTGCATTCGAAAGTGATCATGGTCTGTCTGTGTCCTGGTCATTGATAGTGCAGGGAGAGGAGTTGCTGAAAGCGCTTCCCCGTGTTTGGAGCGTCCCTTCCTGTCCCTTCCAAACTCTGGAGCTATCCCACACTTCCTCCTCCTCCCCACCTTTTAGGTGCCCCTGGGCACCTGCTTATGACGTGTCTTATGGTGTCTTATGGCGTGCTCTCTGTGCCTGGCTCAGGATGGTTTCCGTTTCTGTGAGGTTTTATCAAGGGAGCACGAGCGTGGGTCCTGCCTCAGTGCATGTCTGAGTAGGTTGTGGGAACCACTGCTGTGGTCTTCTGACTCTGGTCTCTAACTTCCGCAGCCACGTGTTGCTTTCTGCCCGTGTTTGAAAGGATTACAGGCTACCTGTGTCCTGGTCACTGGAAATGCAGGCACAGGAAAAGTTGCAAGGCTTTCTTTATGTTCAGGGGTTCTAGACTAGGACAGCCCTAGGTGACGGAGCACGAGGTAGATGTGGGGAGGGAGACTTTCAGTGCATTTACCTCCTAAGACCCAGACTCCCTCACTGTTTTCTTGTTCGTGAGCATAGAGGTTTCCCAGATAGGTAAAGCGGTTCCAAGTGCTTCTTAAAAAAATAAATAAATAAATAAATTTAAAAAAAAATGCTGTAGTAAACAAGAGTATGTTTACAAACTTTTTTTTTTACAAACTACTAAGTTTGTAACGTTTACAAACTATTGTTTACAAACTATTAAGTGGATAAAGCAGCTATAAAACAGTATTACAGGATGAATCTCTTCCTCTTTCTCTTTCTCATGTTATTGTTGCCTCTAGGTGGAGGAATTACAGGTGGTTTTCTGGTTTCCTCTTTGTGCTTTCTATATTTTCCAAAATCTCTACAATATAGTTACACTCAATTTTTTTTAAAAGATTTTATTTATTTATTTGACAGACAGAGATCACAAGTAGGCGGAGAGGCAGGCAGAGAGAGAGGAGGAAGCAGGCTCACCGCTGAGCAGAGAGCCCGATGCAGGGCCCGATCCCAGGACCCTGAGATCATGACCTGAGCCAAAGGCAGAGGCTTAACCCACTGAGCCACCCAGGCACTCTGTATTCAATTTCTTTAAAGAAAACTTAGAAAATTGAATTTATGTCGATAAAATATAGGCTAAGCAAAAGATTTAACTTAAATTCTATGGTTTCCTCACATCAATATCCCACATATTGACCAACAGATAATTCCTGATCAAGATCAATGAACTGTGAAAAAATCAACTGTTCTGATCATTCATATATACATATACACACACACATATACAAAATTTTTCTTAATACCCTATTTTCAGGGATAATTTTAGACTTACAGAAAAGTTGCAAAGATAGTACTGTGCTCCCCTAGTGCCGGACACTACCTGGCCCCCAGTGTCCCCTGCTAACATCTCACCTAAGCCTGGTACATTTGCCACAACCGTGAAACCCACGTGGGCACAACGTTATGAACTAAACTTCACACTTCGTGTGGATTTCACCAGTTTCCCCCCCCAACATCCTCTCTGTTCCATGGTACGGACTGTACCAGCAGTCACGCCTCTCCGGGCTTCTCGGTCCGCGACAGTTCTTAGCCTTCCCTGGTTTTCCACGTACTCTCTGTAAATCCTGTGATCATAAAAAGAAAGGGCTGAGGGTGGTGATGTTGGTGATGAAGAGCGCCGTCTAGGAATTCCTCCAGTTCCTCTCTCCGTGGGAGGCTGACAATCCGCCTTTTCCCGACTCGGGTCCGGAACAAAAGGGGACAGACCAGCGGCCCAGGTATCGAGGGGACCCGCGGAGCCTGGGGCGCCTCGATCCCCGCCCACTTGCCCACTCGGCCCCTGGCCCGGGAGCTTCGGGAAGGCCACCGGGGGGAGGCGAGCCCCGAGCCCGCGGGTCCCCTCGCCGGTTGGGCGAGCGCGCGGGCGGCACCCGGGTCAGCTGTTCCGCCACCGTCCGCGGCCGCCCCGCCCCTTCCCGGGTCTTATAAGCCTCTCCCGCCTGCGAGTGTGGGTCCGAACTGCCCGCTGCCCTGCCCGGCCAGGCGCCCCGCCCTCCCCGCAGCATGGTCTGGAACACCAACCTCCGCTGGCGGCTGCCGGTCACCTGCCTGCTCCTGCAGGTGGCCATGGTGGTCCTCTTCGGCGTGTTTGTGCGCTACGAGGCCGATGCCGACGCCCACTGGGCCGACAATAAGGCGCAACACAACACCAGCGACCTGGAGAACGAATTCTACTACCGCTACCCGAGTAAGTCCGGACACCCCGCAGGCCCCCCAGAGGCATCCCCGCAGGTCCCCGCGGCGCCTCCCGCCGAGAGTCCTGCCTCGAGGCACCTGCACAGTTGGCTGCTCGGGAAGCTGCTGGTCCTCCCTGCTCCCTCCCTTGGAGCCCCGTGGTCCTCCCCACTCAGCCTTCCCAACCGCGCCCCCGCCAGCCCCTGGAGAGCTCGCTTGAGAAAGGGCCACGTGCGCGCTAACTCCTTCTCCCTGCGTTAAACAAAGAGGGAAAACTCCCCAGGGGGAGCTCCCTCCGGGGGGGCCATCAGAGTCCTCCAGCCTCCCGTCAGAGGGCCCTACTTGTCCTGCAAAGACCCAAGTCCCATCTCAGTCACCAGCCAGGGGGTGACACCAGCTCCCTTGTCCAGGTGTGCCCATCAAGTCAAGATCCCAAATCTTGGGCTGGTCTTGGTCCCAAGTCAAGGGCTGCAGGATGGCTGTGGGGAGAGGTGTGCAGGGAGAGGCATGCGGGACCACCCCACCTGCCCTCTTCTGGCTTGGAGAGGAAGAAGGGGCATCCTGAATTCTCTGGTGTCTGTGCTACTGTGCTTAAGAGCATGGGATTGGAATCACCAGACCTCACTTTTGTCACGATTCCGCCATTGACCAGGTGGGCAGCCTTAGGCACGGGTCAACCTCACTGAGACTCCATTTCCACCTCTGCCTTACTGGGCTGGGGAGAGGCTGGCGTGAGATAGTGCCCGTCGAGCTCTGGCATGGGGCTGGCCATGGAGCCCTCACTTCCTAAGGGAGCACTTAGTGGAGGAGCACTGAGCACAGATGCCCTGGGACTCAGGAGTTGGAAAAAATGGCTCAAGGTCACTCAGGTCAGCCCAACCTCCAAACTCCCAGCCCAGGGCTCTTTCCATACCCGTGTGCTTTCCGACTGCCCACACCAGCCACCAGCAGCCAATGAGAGTCATTCCAACTTGTTGGTGCTCACGTGGTCACGGACTGTTAGTCTCGGCAGGGACCCTAAAGCTTGTCAGCAACAGCCACCTCTCCCAACTGACGTTCCCTCCATGGCTTGAAAACCCGCAGTGATGGAGGCTTTTACCTCCAGAAGTAACATGTCACTTAGATCCAGATAAATAACAGCATACGTTCAGGATGATGGCCTGCATGAACAAAGACAAGAGTGGGGGTCGGCCAACTCAGTGGGAGCCAGCCGTATTAAATGGCTGCCAAAAAGCTATCCACAGGCTACATTAATAGAAATATGGTGCCTAGAAGAAAGGAGGTGATGGAAGGGGGTTGTACCCTGTGCTGGTTGAGACCACAGCCTCTGCTGGGCTCTACTCAGGGTCGTGTTTTAAGAGATCTTGACAGCTGTGGCCTTAGAATTTGGACTCTAAATCTGCCCTTCACTGCCCACCTTGACTCTCCTTGAACTGACCCCGCAAATGGAGAGGCAGGCCAGCTGGAGACCCTCCTTTGCCTGTTCCACTCCTTCGCGCTGGCTCTTACTTATCTCTTAGCCAAAAAGCCAGCCTCCCAGCAAAGCACAGGAGGCAAGGTCTCCCACGGGCGTTCATGGATCCTCGATGGGTCCAGGCAGTGGAAAGTCTCAAAGCCCTCAAATGGAAGCTACAGAACATTCCCAACAAGAGGTGTGGCCCTCGCATCTCCCCAGCTTCTATCCCCACCCCATCCACATCCACCTTCATTTATCAATCACTTACCTATGGGGTGGCCATATCATTTATCAACCAATGGCACTCTGGAGAGTGAGGAGGTGAGGGAGTTGTGCTAGCAGTCATTTGCCAGGACACACACGTAAACCACGACTCCTCCAAGAGACCAAGACTTAACGGCTGCTCTGGAGTTGCATATCCTGGGTCTCTGACCCCAAAGGGCTCCCAGACTCATTGAGAGCACCCCAACACCCTGTCCTCAATGGGGTCAGGTTTTCTGGGCACTTCTCTTCCACTTCTTGGAAGGTAGTGGGACAGTGGGGGCGTGGGGAAGCAGGGCAGGCATGCGGGGAGCACATGAGTGGTGCAGAGTGGCCCAAGGGTAGGGTTTGTGGAAGGGATAGGAGGGAGGTTCCTAAGAGGGAATGAGGCAGCCATCAAGGCGGGCTTGAGTTTCCCCTGCCGTTTCCCCGTGGGTGCTGAAAAGCTTTTGGTCACCACGCAGGAAGTGACAGAGAGGAGAGCAGTACAGGGAGAGACCCTTGGCCTCGGGACTCCTTGGCAAGTAGTGGCAACAAGGCAAGCTAGCAGGTGTGCGTTCTCTCCTCGGATGCCCCCACCGCCCCAGGAGGAAGGCAGGGTCTGGGTTCCCATTTTATACACAAGGAGACCAAGGCCAGGGAAGGAGAGTGACTAGGAAACCAGAGAGCCCACGTAGGAGCCCTGGGTTCCTCTCCCTTCGCTCTCCTTCCTCCTGGCACCTTTCCCACTCCCCCCCCCCCCACCCAGACCCTGCCTCCCCCCTGGGGCCCCCGGCCCCTCCCCCCCCCCCCCCCCCCCCCCCCCCCCCCCTGCCCCCTCCCCCCCCCCCCCCCCCCCGTCCCGAAGGTACCTTCTGGGTTCTTGGCACTAGGCTGTCCACACAACACCTGTGTGGGCCTCATTCCTTCCCCGGGGGATTAGTGGAGCCTGTTGGGCATCTCAGGTTTCCAGAAGAGTCCAGCTCCAGCTGGCTCGGGCTGGGGCTCAGGAAGGCCTCGGGACTGCTCCCCGGGCATGGGCCCCTCAGCAGGCAGCAGGCACCAAGCCAGCTGGGGACCTGCCCTGACAGTGCCCTCTGAGGTCCGTGCTCCTCCCGGGCTAGGGCTCTGGGGCCTCCGTGACTGTTGGAAGGGTCAGGGGGAAGCTGGCTTGAGGAAGAGCCCTCAGAGTCTGTGCTCCTGAAACTTCCTGCAAAGACTGCAGGAGGAGTGGACACATTTCTAGGACATGACCGAGGGAAGAGGCTGCCGTAATTTCAACCCCAGAAAGACTGTTTCATGAAGCACGGCAGCCAGGCTCGCTCTGCAATTCTGGGACCTGCCCCCTCAGACTCAGCTCCATTTAGTAAAGGACAAGCTTGCCCACAAGTCTCAGAGGGCAGCACAACCTGGACTGTGGAATTCAACAGATCTGCGTCCCTCACTAAATGGAGTGAGCCTCAGTATGCTCGTCTGTGAAGTGGGACTGTTATTTAATGCACTGGCTCTCCAGGAAAACTGAAGAGGGCAGGGGACCGGTAGGGCCCATCTGGGGGCAGGAAGTGAGGGGACAGTGAATGCTGGTATCAGGTGTCCTCAGAGGGGAGTGAGTGCTCTGGCGCTGAAGGGACACGAATGGAGGCTCAGCATCTCTTTAGAGATATGGCCAAGGAGTGTGTCCCTGAATATTAGTTTGTCCCTAAACGTGAGCATTTAAATTCCTCTGTGCTTTCCCCACTTACAAGTGCTTTTAGCAGGCTCTGTCAGGCAGAGCATTTCTTTCCATTTTGTGGTGCCCAAAGTGGACCTTAGAGATGTGCCCAGCACTCTGAGCGCCAGTGGCAGGGACAGGGACTGGCTGAGCCCTCCCTCCCCACAGCCCACCTGCTTTCCCGGGGCCTCTGTGCCATTGCCAGGAGATTGTGCGGTGACTGGGTCTGATCTGAGGTGTGGGGGAGGTGGACACAGAGCCTTGGGGAAGTGCTGGACTGGCCAGGAGGACTCCAAGGGAAAGTCTGGGCCTGGCTGGCCCGCAGAGAGTGGGAAGGGAGCAGCACCCACCGGCACCAGGCAGGGCTCCACGCTCTCTGTGCCGGGGCAGCAGAGGGGAGGAAGCTGCTGTGGTCCAGTGGCACGGGAAACTCCTATTTCAGAGCCACTGCCGGCTTCGCTGGGGACACATTCTGGAGGTGGGGGAAAAGGGGCCCCTCTAGACCTAGAGGGGTGGGGTGGAGAACGGGAGTGAGAGCGGCTGTGTACTGGTGCCCCCTTGTGGCAGCCTTCGTGGCTGCAAGCCAGCATGCCTGTCCCGCCCGGTTGGTTTTGGGGGAAGATCTCTGGGTAGAGAGGACAGATTCTGGGCGGCAAAGGACTGCTGTGTCACCCCAGGCTGGGGAAAGAGGGGGGTAAAGGGAGGTGTCTCACCACCTTCCACTGATCTACAGAAAGGCGCCAACTCTGCGAAACACAAGACAGCCTTGAAGGAGAAAAGAGAAATAGTAGCTAATATGATTGATCAATTTGCAAAAGAGCCAGGCCTCTACCCAGGGCTGGATGAAGTCATTACATGTGCACCCCAGAACTCTGGGGTGAGCACTTCCCAAACACATGGACTAACCCCACTTTACAGAATAAGAAACTGCAGATCCAAGAGATGATGTCCTTCCTGAAGGTCACACAGTTGGGACCTTCGAACCATTACTGGTAAAAGCATTTTAGGAAGCACCCAACCTTAGGAAACATAAATTATTCAACTGGTAGGTTGGGGTTCTAAATTAGGACCACTGTGGGAGAGAAACAGAAAGGGAACAAGAGAATGAACGGGGAGGTGCCCAAGGAGAGGAAGCTGGTGTCTGCGTGCTCCAAGTGGGGCAGGAAAAAAGAGACACCCCCAGAAAGGGGCAAAGAGAGAGAAGTCAGGATAGCCGGGGAGTAAGGGGAGTCACGGAGGACAGAGAACTGGCCAGAGGGGGCCGGCAGAGATGGTGTGCTAAGAAGGGGAGGGCTCAGACAGCCCTGAAATTGAAGCTATTCCCCAGGAGGGCCCCCCCTCCACACCCACCCTCCGCCCCTGCCCACATGGTTCCTCTCTGCCACCAAACGGCTGAAAGGCCCCCACCCTCTGTGATGCTGCCTCTTCCCGGGGATTCCTCCCACCCCCTGCCAGCGCCTTCCCTGTCCAACCTGCTAGCTTCCAAGGCGGCCAGCTCTCAGCTGCTGTCTCCCCCTCACTGGGCCCACATTCTGACTCACAGCTCCATCTGCGGGCCTGCCCCCCACACCCCGGTCTCAGATCCCACTTCACCCCACACAGCCAGGCTCTGTCCCTCTCACCTGCCATGCCCACCCCGCTGTGGTCCTCCAAGGCCAGCACTTGACCCAGCCCCTCCCTCCCACTCCACAATCAGCTCCCAGATCCCGGGGTCTATCGGCAGCCCTGCCCTCCTACCAGCTCCCCTCCCTGCTGCTGGAACTGGAGTCTGAAAGTGTCATCTCCCTCTTTCACACCTCTCCTCCAGTCTGCCACCCATCCGTTCTTCCCAAGAATAACCATGATGCCACGTATGGTGCCTCACACGCATTAGCTCAGATCCCCCCACAACAGTTGGAAACGTGATAAACCATGAAACGCGGTAATACACGAAATCAGCCGCACACATTGTGAAACCTCCACTGAGCTGCTGTTGGTTCATGCAGACCCGCACAGGTCTCCAGACAGCCGCTCACAGCACCCCACCGGGGTGAGACCCACGGCTCCCTGGCACCAGCTGGCATGCCTCCGCCCCCACCCGGCACTGTGCCAGCACCTCCTCCCTAAGCCGCCTCCAGGTGCCCGCTAGCCAAGGGGGCTGTGGCTGTGGCCTGGGCCCCAGGGAGACCTGTGGGGGGGCAGGCGGGGGCAGGCAAGGTTAGGGCTGCTGTAGCATCAGCACCGTTACCGCCACCTCGGCCAGGCTCTCCACCCCGGGGTGCAAGAGGTGTCCGACTGGAGAGGGACCACAGCCTCCTGTGACTGGCTGCTCAGTGGACACCCTCGGTGCTGCTGGGGTGACAGCCGTCATCATTCATTCCGTCACAGACAGTGACGGAGAGTCTCCCCAGCCACTCTCCCAGGTGCTGGGCAACAGCGGCTCAAAGGAAACAGGCATGGCCTCGCCTTCTGGGAGTTTCCAGTCTGGTGGGCGGGACAAACACTCCAACTGCACACAGTCGTAAGAACTAGAAAGGAAGGAAGGGGGGCCGGGAGGGGGCGAACCACCTTTAAACGGGAGGGTCAGGAGGGCCTCTGTGATGAGGCCATGTTTGGATGAGATCTGCAGGAAAAGAAGTTGTTGGCCTCCATTTTGCGGGAACAGCATCCTGGGCAGGGGGAGGCCACAGCCAGAGACCCTGGAGCAGGGCTGAGGAACACGCCAGACCTGTGCTGCTGGTGCATGGGGGGAGGGGGAGCCAGGAATGAAGAAAGACCCTGCAGGTCCCACCCACCTTTTTTTTTTTTCCTTTACTTGGGAAGAATTTCAAATTTGCAAGAAGTTGCTAAAACAGAAGTAGCATAAAGAGCACTATATACTCTGTAACTCCGAATCAGCGACCTGTTCCTTCTCTTTCTCCACATACACACTTGTTTCCTCTGAACCACCTGCGGGTCAGTTACACATGCCATGGCCCTGTTGTCACCTTCATGACCCCAGGATGTCCTGAGCATGGAGGGATTCTCTTCCAACACCATGCTAATCAATTTCATCCATCTACGTTGTGTGATAGCTTAATAAATGGTTCCGATCTCATTTCCTCAACCGAGTTTTCTAGTTATTTTCTACTTTTGTTGACAACGACCTTCGCAGCTCTCCTCCCATTCCCCCTGTCACATCCAGAATCCAGTCCGAAGTTAGGTAGTGAATGTAGCTGGCATGTCTCCTTAGTCTCTTTTAACCTGGAATATTTCTGCCGCCTTTGTCTTTTACGACACTGACATTTTTCAAGATTACAGCCTCAGTGTGCGTGCGCACACACACACACACACACACACACACACTCACACAGCCTCTAATGGCACATTACTCGTTCTCTGTTTGATCTTCCTTGTAAGTAGACTGGGATAATGCCTGCTGGGCTAGAATGCCATACAGATGATAAGTTGCCTTCAGATGATCACATCTGAAGGCCCGTGGTAACCCACCTGTCCCTCGTGAGTAAGGTTAATTTTGATCACCCCGCTGAGAAGTCGTCCTGTTTCTCCACTTCATAATTACTGGGTTGTTGTTGTTGTTGTTTTTTCAGTCCCTTGCAATTCACAGTCTCTGGGGAGACTCTTGAAGACAATGCAAATGTTCTCCTCCTCATCAAAATTTCCTCCTGGATTCAGCATCCACTGATAGAGTCTTTACTGTGAAAATCACGATTTTCCAACTTCATCGCTCATTCCACATTTAACTGTCTGGCTCTCAGCATTCTGTTACCATCAAGAGCCTTCCCCACATTCTCACTTATTTCCTACTCCAAGTTGTTACTTTGTAATGGTTTTAATTTATTACAGTACGTAATTATTTTGGTGCTCAAACCATCCCAGATTTGGCCACTGGGAACCCTTCAATCTAGCTCCTGTGTCCTATAGACCCACATAGTGCCTTATATTTTTGTAACTGTCTTTGCTTCCTAAAGGTCCTTGCCCTCTATTTTAATTTTCTGGGACTCCAGAATCAGGTAACATTAGCACTGGGAGGACAGTTACGATCACTCTAATCCATCCTTTGGTTTTATGGAGAAAACTGTCTGTGAGAGGGGAAGTAGGTTGTCAAGGCTAGACCCCAAGAGTTGGCAGAAGAGTTGGCTCAAAACTCAGAATGAACCTATGCCTAAGTAATAACAAATAATAAATAATAAAGCAACAATGACACTTGTCCAGTTTGAGCTCCTGTTATGGGACGGACACTGCTAGGTGGTGTACCTACACACCCGCATTTAATCTCTGCAGGCTTTGTAAGCATTACAGAGGGCACGGAAAGCCAAGGGTGCTACCTGACTTTCCAGAGTCATCCACGCAGCAGACGGAGGAACTGGGGTCCAGATTCGGGTCTCCGTGATGCAAGAAAGTGTACTTGCTGGGGGTGGAGGTGGGATGTGACATTCATGGGGTGGGGGTGGGGGATGATCAATTCGTGTGCTTGGCCCCTCCAGAGACGCAGACCCAGTGGAGACCAACTTCTCTGTACTAAAAAAACGGAGTTGAAGGGGCAAGGCCGCAGGAAGTCTGGGTTCTAGACCCTAGATTCTAGGTGTGAGCCACAGCCTGGCGCCAATTTTGCGCTCTAGCACGGCAGGGCATGTCTTGGCATTAGAACGAGCGTTCTATAGTGGGAGGCTCACCTCGGCCCCCGCCCCCCCCAAGCCCAGACCCCTCCAGGGGTTCTTAGGACAAGATGCAGGCAGTGGCGGTTCTACCTGCAGCAACTGCGCCTGGCCCCAGGATCCAGATGCAGAGATGGGAGGAGGGGGTTCGGGAGGCTACCTCGGGGCCAGGCGTCCAGGAAGACAGCGCTGCGCCAGGCGGCGCTGGCCCAGACCACCGAGACCCCCGGCTGCGCTCTCCCCGCAGGCTTCCAGGACGTGCACGTGATGATCTTCGTGGGCTTCGGCTTCCTCATGACCTTCCTGCAGCGCTACGGTTACAGCTCTGTGGGCTTCAACTTCCTGCTGGCGGCCTTCGGCATCCAATGGGCGCTGCTCATGCAGGGCTGGTTCCACTCCTACCACGAAGGCTACATTCACGTGGGCGTGGAAAAGTGAGCGCGGGGCGGGCCCGGCGCGAGTGGGGGCGGGCCCGGGGCGGGGCCCGGAGAGAGGGCGTGCCCGGGGGCGGAGCCCAGAGGGCGAGGGGGCGGGTGTGCGAAGGAACACTCATTAGCCTGCTTGGAAGACCAAGTCCACAGAAAGGGTTTAGAGGCAAATTGCCATAACACCACGTCACATCCAGGGCACCAACGGGGGATCATATGCCAGGTGTCTGAAATTTAAAACCTGCCAAATACTTGCAAGATACTCGTTCACGCAAGCTGGTCAGGGACTTAAGTCTTCTTAAGTGACTTAAGAGAAACTGGAAAAACAGTTGACAAGATAGAAAATGTGTTGTAATCAGTAAGTCAGTCTTTTGTATATAAAACCGTTGACATGCATCTCACCAAGCAGTTCGAAATACACAAGAAAAGTCTCACTCCCAAAACTGTAGACCCAGAGAATAAAAACACCTGTAATATATTTAGATGGCCACCCCAGCAAGAGAGCTATGGCTAGTTGAAAAAACAGAAGCATACAACGTTTTAGAAATCTTCAAAGGGAATCATCATATACTTTGTGAGTTGGAAGTGTGTGGTGAACCAGTTATGGGGCAAGTTGGTCACTCGACAAATTGAGATTTTGGCAAACTGGTTTTCAGGGAGTTGATTTCCAGCAACCGAGCTGGAGCCAGTCCTGGTGCTCAGGGCTGGATGACCATGTTGTCCCCAGACCCTCCTCCTGGCTTCTGTCCTGTCCCCGCTAAAGAGTCCTCCAGGTCCCACCTGTCGCTGTAGGGCGATGCCCTCAGGCTCTGCCCCAGCCTCCATGGGCCCTCCTGAGATGGGGACATGCAAACCTCCGTCTCCAGGGAGCTGATGGGCCAAGATGTGGGCTTTTCTGCTCTCCCTCTCCCTTCTTGCCAATGGTCACGTCTGTCCGATGGGTCAGTTATGGGAAAGTGAGCAAATAACACAGCCTCTCTAAGCCCCCCTGTTCCATCCCTATGATGTGGCTAGTAATAGTACCTGTCCCCTCAGGTTTGGGTGTGGTACAGGTGGGCCTATGCAGTACCTAGCGGGTGTTTCCCTGCCTGGCACTTAGTAACTGCCATGATTCCTTCAATCAGGCCCTGTGTGAGGCCCTGGGGACACAGCAGCAAACAAGGCTCACAGGGAAGCCAGGTTCCAAGGAACATCCTCATCTTGGGAGGGACCCTGACAGCCGGCCGCATTCCACACCCTGGCCCTACAATTAGCTGGCTTCTTACTTTTTTTTTTTAAGATTTTATTTATTTATTTGACAGACAGAGATCACACGTAGGCAGAGAGGCAGAGACAGAGAGAGGAGGAAGCAGGCTCTCCGCTGAGCAGAGAGCCTGATGCGGGGCTCGATCCCAGGACCCTGGGATCATGACCTGAGCTGAAGGCAGAGGCTGAACCCACTGAGCCACCCAGGCGCCCCTGGCTTCTTATTTCTCACCTCCTGATTCTCTCATACCCCTGAGCATGGGGCAGGGGCACTTCTTCTAGATGTGAATGTCTCGAGGAAGGAGCCTCTATTGTCCCTGCACCCACCCCCACCCCATTAACAACTCTCATGAGTCTGCCTTGGAATCCTTGACCACTTTGCTGCTGGTTGAGCACAGAAAGGCCTGGGTTAGGCAGGCATGTGGAGGGAACCAGGGTCTCCTTTGGCCCCACGACATCTGCCTGGCTGTCTGCCTCTCCATCGGCCTTCTGCTGGCTGGCTGGGCCTTCAGGGTCCAGACTTAAGAAGGATTGAGTTGCTCCTCTGCCTCTGTTCTCTCTGTTGGCTTTCCTGCCCCCTTCCACCCAGCCCCCAGGTCCCTACCTACCTCCTGCAGGAAGGCCACTCTTTCTTCCGGGGACACAGATCCTCTCTCCCAGGAAAGGTGAAGAGGAGGTCATGAGAGCTCCAACCCAAGCAGGGCCCTGGTAGACAGAAGCATGTGTGGAGTGAGAGATAAGGGTCTGGAGGTGGAGACCCCATCTGCGTGGAGGAATCGAGGAAGGCTTCCTGAAAAAGGAGGCAGTCAGAGGTTGTTCTGGAAGGGCAGGTAGAGGATGGAGGGCAGGAGAAGCCCCCACTTATGGGGCATGTCCTCGAACAGCAGCCAGATGACTTGGGTGCCATGAACACAAGCTCCCTGAGGGGGCACTGGGATGGGGGCCACGGAGGAAGGGTGTGACATCTGATACGTGCCATTGCTGTGATGGCCCTTTCACGTGCTATTTCTTTTCATTCCTAGATTAGCTTTAAGATACTCTGCGCTGGGAGGGGTGGTGGTGATGGGTGAACCCAATGATGGGTTTTAAGGAGGGCACGGATTGCATGGAGCACTGGGTGTTATATGTAAGCAAGGAAGCATGGAACATTATATCAAAAACTAATGATGTACTGTATGGTGACTAACAGAACATTAAAAAAAAAAAAAAAAGATACTGTGTGCTCGTGACCACACCATGAAACTGAGGCTCAGAAAGGTTAAGCCACAAAGCCAAATGCACAGATGGCCAACGTCCAGATTCAAACCCAGGACTCAGAGTGCCACTTTTTGCTGTTGCCTCAGACCCTCCCCTGACCTGTCTCCCCACAGCCTCATCAATGCGGACTTCTGCGTGGGCTCTGTCTGTGTGGCCTTTGGGGCAATTCTGGGCAAAGTCAGCCCTGTCCAGCTACTCATCATGACTCTCTTCCAAGTGACCCTCTTTTCAGTGAATGAGTACATCCTCCTCAGTCTGCTAGAGGTGAGCAGGGCTCAAGGATGGCGGTTCAGGGGGACACATGGGGTGACAGCAGGGGAGGAGAGAAAAGGAGGGTCAGGGAGCCATGCTGGCTGGATTCAATTCACTCTTGGCCTGTCACTTAACCTTCTGAACCTCAGTCTCCTTATCACTAAAAGGAGAGTAATGACATTTATTTGGGCAGGGATGGTGGTCCACCTAGCCAATCAGATCAGCACGTTGGCAGAGCAGGGGTTCCTTGTATGGTGGTTTTCTCCCTCCTTTCCCTTTCCAGCATATCAGATGGAAAGAGTGGGTGTTCCTGCACATACACACCTCATTCCCAGTTTGCTCTGCCAAGAAAAGGACCCAGTAGATTGGGGGTGCACGTCTGTAAGGAAGGATCCTAGGGGAAAAGCCATGGTGGACATGGACAGCTGCATAGGTTGTGTCCTGCACAACTCCAGAGATGACATTCATGTGGACTATGGCAGGAATGACGTCCCTTGAAGTCGGCCGATTCAATGGCCCAAGTAAGGGGACCTTAGACCTCTGACTCTAGCTCAGATACCTCTTTGGTACCTCTGCAGGGGTGAAGGTCATTCAGGGACCTCATCCATTTCTTAGTCCCCAACTCCTCTACATTTGGACTCTGCCTGGCACATTTCTGCCCCCCACAAGGGGGAGAGATTTTTTTGTTTTTGTTTTGTTTTCTCTTTTAGATCCCACTATATTCAGTCATTCATTTTGTCATTTTCTTCAGCCACCAGACTGGTCCAAGCCACCATATCTCTTTCTCCTAACTCATTTCCCTATCTTCATCCTTGCTCTACTCACGGCCTCAGGCCAATCTCCACCAGCAACCATGGAGACCTGTTAATAATGTGTGTGAGACCATTCCCCTGATCAAAACCCTCCAGTGGTTTTTAAAATTTCACTTTGAGTAAAATCCAAATTTGTTGTAAAGCCCCACATGTTCTGCCCCCAGCCTTTCCCTCCAAGCTTATAATCTACTCTCTCCCCATCTCTCCGTGCTTTCGCCACACCCTGCTGTCTGCTCTTCAATGCATCATGCTTGGTCCCACCTCAGGGCCTTTGCACTTGCTATTCCCTTTGCCTGGAATGCTCATCCCTCAGTCATTTTCATTACTGAGGTCTCAGCTGGAATATTACCTCTTCAGAGAGGCCCTCCCAGATTCCCCCCTGCCCCACAGTGTTGGCCTCTATCTTACTGCCCCCCACCCCAAGTCACTATCTCTCACACTGACTTGGTTCATTTTCTTCATAAACTTTCTCCTTTTCTGATAAACCTGATGTGTCTGGGCCGTCGGGATCTCCAGTACCTAGTTCAATGCCTAATAAGGGCTCAACAAATATTTATCAAGTAAATGCATTTTGGAGTCTGACCACACGTCGGACAATGCTCCTGGCACCTCATACATAGGTGGGCAGACCTCTTTAGACCCTAAGGAGCTCACAATCTAGAGAGGGAGCTAGGAAGTCAGTAGACAGTAACCACATAGTATAATGAGGAGTGGGGTCAGGGCCTTGCTGGCCTAAAAGGGGGGGTGGCAGGTGTCTGAACCAGCAGGACAGGTCAGAGAGGCTTCCTGGAGGAAGAGATATCAAAGCTAGGAGTCAAGAGGGAAACAACCAAGCGAAGGAGTGAGGCAGAGGGAACAGTGAGTGGCTAGGCCTTGAGGGAGGCCCACGGTGAGAGGTTTCCAGTGGGCCAACCTGCTGGAAGAGGGTGTGCCAAGAATGAATCTTGGGCACAAGTTAAGAGGGTCTCAAAAATCCTCCCGACCTACTATGGAAATTCTTTGAATGCACGACAACCTTTGAGTCCGTCTCTGTGCCAAGTCCCTGCTGACATGCAAGGAGCACTTGCCCTTGGCTGGTCCCTGCTCTAAATGCCTCACATGGCTTACCTCATTAATCCTCCCCTCTGAGATAGGCACAATTATTATCCCCACTTTACAGAAGAGAAAATTGAGGCTCGGAGGTTAAGGGGCTCAGCCCAGGTCCCAGAGCTAATAGAGGCACCCGTCAGGCTGGGAACCAGGAAACCCAGCTTTGCCAACAACTAACTAGCTCTGTGACCTTGGACAACACATTTAACCTCTCTGCCGGGATTTCCCCATGTACAGTGAAGGAGCAAGTCTGTGATTCTAATTGGAATTTCCCCTGAGATTGGTTCTGAGTGGGGAGGAAGAGGAGGCTAGAGAGGAGGTGGGGGCATGGGGAGGAAGGCTAAGTCAACCAAGCCCCTGTGGGGTACCAGGCGCTCGCCAGGTGCCAGACACGTTGGCAGAGCCCTACTAAATAAGGCACCCTGGTCTCCCCCACTTTGTGAAGGAGGAACTTGAGGCACAGAGTGGGGTAGGGCAGAAGGGGACAGAAGAGGAAGAAACCGATCTGTGTGCTCTGACTACAGGGGACAGAGGAGAGGAGGGTGGGGTGGGGATGGGCTGGGGGCGGGCGGTCAGCAGGAAGGTTGTCAGGCAACAAGGGTGGCAGGATGCGGGGGAGATGAGGAATGACCTTCTAGACGGACTGGGGCTGGGCCAGGAGTGGCTATGGAGGAAGCAATGTGGAGAGGGGAGGCCCAGAGGGAACGGCAGGGCTCCCAGGAATTAAGATACAGTAGAAGCTAGTGGGTGACAAACTAGATAGGGGCTGGGCCTGGGTTCTAGCTCTGCTTCACCTCTTCCCGCTGCTTAACTGAGCAACGTCCTCTCCAAGCCTGGGGTTCCCCATCTGGGCACAATCCCATCTGCTGGGGAACGATGCCCTGGCATTTTGCTGACAGGCTCACAGCCTGGGCTCAGGGATTCCCACTTTCTCCCCTTCCCAACTGATTGGTCTGTGGGAGCCCTGAGCTCCATCCTGAAGCTTGTGGAGTCAGACAGATGGAGCTCTGTGTGTGTGTGTGTGTGTGTGTGTGTGTGTGTGTGTGTGTTTCACGGGGGTGGGCAAGGAAAGTGCTAATAGTTGGGAGAGAGAGAAGGTATCAGAGTCTGACAGATCCCTACCCCCCAGGTAAAGGACGCAGGGGGCTCTATGACCATCCACACATTTGGTGCCTACTTTGGGCTCACAGTGACCTGGATCCTCTACCGGCCCGGCCTACATCAGAGCAAGGAGAGGCAGAAAGCTGTGTACCACTCGGACCTCTTTGCCATGATTGGTGAGAGCTGCTATAATGAATGAGGGCCACTGGGATGGGGGAAGATGGCCCTGGTGGCTACGGGCCATCATGATGTCTTAGGGCTGCCATGATGGGTGAGGACCTCTTGAGGAGTAAGAACCCCCATTAACAGGTGAGGGTCTCCAGGAGGAGTTCAGGCCACCATAATCACACCTGATACCCACATGGTCTGGTGGGTGGCAGGTAGTTCCCTTGGGGGAAAGGCAGAGGAGGGGTTGCCTGTAGACACCTCCAGGATCCCAGATATCTTCCCTTTTTCCTATGGGGCTGGAAGAAGTTGGTCACTCATCCTGTATTCCCTAGGATGCCCCGAGGCAGATGAAGCGGCACCCAGAAACTGGTCAGTCCATCCCCTGGGCTAGGGCAAGGTGTGAATTCCTACTTCCTGTGTCCATTCATTCCAGAGAATACATACCAACCACCCACTCTGGTCTCCTAAAACCCAGCCCTGCCTTCAAGGAGCTCCTCACAATATGGTGGAAGAGATGGCAATGTTACCACATGATCTAACTACAGTAGGGAAAAAGATTCTCCCTCATGATGCCATGGGAGCAAGGGGCGAGGCATTTAGCCCAGTTATGGGGCTGGGGTAGACTTCCTGGAGCAGAGGAGGGCTGAGTGGAAGTTAGGCAGGAAGGATGTTCTGGGGAAAGCCCCCAGCATGAGTAAAGCTGCAGGGGTGGAAACTACTACTGGGGCGCATGAGTCCTATGACATCTCTGGAACTAAAGGACAGGAAGTCTGCCTAAGCTCTGTTGGGCCCATCTAACACCTCTTCCCCCCCGGGCCCACCGGTCCTTTCCGGTCTGGCCAGGCACCCTCTTCCTGTGGATGTACTGGCCCAGCTTCAACTCAGCTGTGTCCAACCACGGAGACGCCCAGCACCGAGCTGCCATCAACACCTACTGCTCGTTGGCAGCCTGCGTGCTCACCTCGGTAGCACTGTCCAGCGCCTTGCACAAGAAGGGCAAGCTGGACATGGTGAGTGGCAGGGGCAGGGGGGGAGACTGGGGAGCCCCGGGGGGAGGTGTGACTATGACTGCCTGCGCCCGGTGGGCTGATCACCACGTCCGGCCAACGACTCTGTGAGGCAGGCAGCATCAGGGTGATCACACCCATCCTACAGATGAAAAAATGGAGTCTCGGAGAGAAATGATTTGTTTGGATTCCATAGCTGGTTTTCTGCAGAGCCCAGAACCAGATTCCCAGATTCTGTTACACTGGCTGCTCTGGGTGAGCGTCTCCTCCTCTTCATTCTCCTCCTTCCAGCCTGGGGTGCTGATAGCTCTTCTGGGCTGAGGGCTCCATCACACCAGCCTGGTCCGGTTGCCAGGGGCATTTCTCCTCTGTCAGGCTTCCGATCCTCCAAACGCTGGTCCTCAGCCTTCCTAAAGCTGCCTCCACCTGCCCTGCCCCATACCATCAGAAAGGGGACCCCTTTGCTGTCTGTCCACTCCCCTGGGGAGGTTTGTGAGGGCATATGGTTTCGCAGTGTCCTTCCTCTCCCACCACTGGGACAGACCGTTCTGTCTCTAGCGGGGAGGGGCCAAACCCCATAGGTGTTGGTCGATTTTTCTATAAAAAGAAGACCGCCTCTCTATTTCCCAGTCTGACACTAGCTTCTTGACGCGGCATATGTGGGACACTCACCACACAGAGAGGTAGGGATGCTCGCATCAGGGGGAAGAGAATCAGACAAACCCTGCGTGCGCCCAACACCCCCGCGCCGACAAGGACACGGAACAGAGTCAAAGTAGGGGGCCCCCAGCTCCGCCCTGATCATGATCAAGACACCTTTCTGCCCCTTGCTAGTTGTATGGTCTCCCTGCACCTGCATTTCCTCCTCTGCAAACATCCAAAGATTACTGTCCTTACCTCCTGGGCTGGTTGTGGAGACGGACTGAAATCCTCCCCACAGCGGGCAGCACAGTACCGGGAGCGGTCAGCCCCCACAGAGGGTCAGCCGGCGCTGGTGCAGGCCCCCAGACGCCGACAGGGGCGTGTGCGCATGCGTGGGGCCCCACGGGCGCCTGACGTCAGCAGACGTGGGTGTAGAGCCCATCAGACATGCGCACCTGCGCACACAGAGCCAGAGGGGAGGTGTAGACGTGCCAAGAGGGTTCACCCACCCCGACACGATTACACCGATTTGTGTCCATGGACGATGGCCAGCCTGCTGGTGGGGGTGCCCAGTGTGCAGAGAGCACAGGAGCAGGCCCAGGCCAGCGCCCTCTGCGGTCTGCCGTTTGCAAGATGCCCTCAGAGTCATCCCTGCCTCCCAGCGCCAGCGCCCCCAGACACAGCGTGCTGGTGCAGGCGGCCTCTGGGGACAGGACTGAGCTCCGGCCCGCCCTGTCCGCCCTACCCAGGTGCACATCCAGAATGCCACGCTCGCAGGAGGGGTGGCCGTGGGGACGGCCGCTGAAATGATGCTCATGCCTTACGGCTCCCTCATCGTTGGCTTCATCTGCGGCATCGTCTCCACCCTGGGTTTTGTATACCTGACGGTGAGGACCCCAGGCCAGGGGCTGAGGGCAGGAGGATCCTGGGTTTCCGCGCATTTGGGGCCTCCCCATACCGCTGCCACTGCTCAGGGCCTGAGTAGCACCCGTCTCCCCTGTCCAGCCATTCCTGGAGGCCAGGCTGCGGATCCAGGACACGTGCGGCATTCACAACCTGCACGGCATTCCCGGCATCATCGGTGCCATCGTGGGTGCCGTGACCGCGTCTTGCGCCACCACAGATGTGTATGGAATAAACGGGTAAGTATGGAGGAGGGACAGGGGAGCCTGAGCTCCCTCCTTCCTTCTCCATTCCTCCTTCTTGCTGTTCCTCCAGGGTCCAACATACCGTCTCTACCACTAGCCTTCCCCAACCTGAACCACTGTCCATGGGCCTCTCTCCCCAACCTCTGTCCCTCCTCATGAGTCTTAGAAACCATCTGATCTGTCCAGTGTACACGGGAAGGCTCAGAGCCTTGGTGCCCGCTCACATTTGTGGGCCACAGCAAGGGGTTTCTTGGCCTCTCTGTGCCGCCCTGATCTGCCCCCAATCTCCACCCCAGGCTTGCCCTTGCCTTTGGCTTTGATGGTTTCAAGACTAACTGGAACGCAAGCATGCAGGGCAAGTTTCAGGCTGCTGGTCTCTTTGTGTCCCTGGCCATGGCCCTGGTGGGCGGCGGCATTGTGGGTGAGTGGAAGTGGCTGGGCTAAAGAAGGCGGGGCTGCTGTGGGTGGGGGACCCAAGAGCATGTACCAGAGGTCAGCCCAGAGCCCACAGGAATCCTGTGCACTTGTGGCTTTGGGACTGAGTTGTGGGGTGGGGAGGGGGTGCTTCTCAGCTAAGGGGAAGGCCTGGGTAGGCTAAGAGAAGTGGTTCCCGACCTTGTGTAACCCCAAACTTTCCTTAGGAATTATCCTGAAACTGCCAGTCTGGGGACAACCCGCTGATGAGAACTGCTTTGAGGATTCGGTCTACTGGGAGGTGAGTTCCAGGGACTGGTTCCCCTGCACAAAGGGAGTTATATCCCTTCTCCACAGACCCGGCCCGCATCAGCCGAGCTGGGGCCTGAGAGACCAGAAGCTGAGTGTTGGGGACAGAGCCTGCATCACCCTGCTCCATCCGGAGGCTGTGTGTCTCCTGGGGGCCAAAGGCTTTATTCTAGAGCAGTCATTCCCAAAGTGTGGCAGCTTCCCACGTGCCAGCCCAGAACTGTCACTGAGTAGGGCCTCCTCATGGGAAGAAGTTCCCAGCTGATTCTGGCCCAGAAAACTGAGCGACATTCCATTGCTTTCAGCATCCAGAGAAGTATCGGTACAGAAACTCGACTTGAGAAACATTGTTCTAGAAGCTGAAAGTAGTAAGATGTCACAGAACTCCATTTCTTTAAAAACTTGCCACAATTCGGGTTTTCTGTGACTTGAGGCAGGGCTCCCTCCCAACGGATCCTTGTTGTAGGTGTTTACTGGCATTCGGATGTTGGGGGGATGACAGCCACCTGCATCTCCCCTCATGACACGGGGCAGGACGTAACCTGTGTCGGTGACCCCTGTGACTCGGGTCTGCCCATCACCGCCTTTCATTTGGCTCCGTAATTTTAAAACCACACCAGAAAGTTTTCTGGGACATTTTCACTGATATCCACTATAAGCGAATTTCATGTACACAACTAATAACATTTTTTAATTCATTCTCTTTAAAATGTCTATTATAAAATGAATAGAAGCCCATTAAGAGAAATCGGGAAATAGAGAAAAATAGAAAGAAATCCCATCACTCTAATTCAAGCACTGCTAATATTTTGGGTCTATGTTCCTCCAGTATTTTTTTTTTTAATCAGCCGAGACTTTTCTTAGCAGAGATTTACGCCCAATTTGGGATCCTGCTCACTCTCTCTCTGTCTCTATTGTAAAAAGTATTCTGTGTCATTGCATTCTTAATAAACTTTCTTCTTTTAGCAGCATTATTTTCATTCCATATTTAAAGTCAGAACTTAAACTATATTAGACACGACCATGAGAAATCACATGGATTTGCCACTAATGAAATAAACTAAAAAATCTTATCAATTCCCATACAGAGGAGTTCACTCTTGGTTCTGTATGGATCTTTATCATTCTTAGTTCACACATTCTAGCTGCTGCATACCCTTCAGCAGTGCTCCGTTTTGAGATCTAATTCTGTGTCTGTGGAAGTAAGGCACCATCAGGCCATCCGTTTGGCCCCTGGCCTCTGGCTGCTTTACCTGGGAGATGAGGTGGCCTTCTAGAGGATGTGGTGAGACAGATGTTCCCCAGGACCTCTGATGAGGCCATCTTTAAGATTAAATCGAAGCCTTGAAGCCAGCGCAAGGCTGTTCCACCCCACCCCCACTCCAGCTACCCATCCATTTCCCGCCTCCCCTACATCTCACCCCACCTCACTTTTGGACCTGCCTGGTGTTCAGGGAGCTTGCCATGCTGTCTCTTCCTGGCACATCTCCCCTCATCTTTCAAAAGCGGGTTCATTCTGCACCACCGTAATTCCACCCCCCCACCTCAGGCGGGTTATCAGCCTCTCGCGTGCGTTTGCAGCTTCTCTTGTCACTGTGCCCATCACCTGAACGCTTTCCCACTGCTCTAAGTGGGGCAAGGAAACTGTGTCGTCCTTGCAGAGCCCCAGCACCCTGGACAGTGGCCAACCTGATGCAGAGGGCAGGATACCTGTGTGTGCGACTGCCCTGCTTCTCTGCATGCGCTCTGCACAGTGATCACAAGGTGGCGCCCGCCACACACCATCCACCCCTCCAGACTTGGCCAGGTTGTTCTAGTCCTACCAGGGACACCCGCCTGGCCTGGGACAAGGCCCCTGGAGCTGCCCTCCTCTCTCCGCAGACGCCTGAGGAGCCAAAGAGCACAGTCTTGTATCCTGAGGACTCTACCCTCAAGCCCGCAGAACCTTAAACTCCCAGGCCAGGTGAGAAGCAGGTGAGCATGGGCAGGTCCTCCCCGTGCCCCCCCCACCCCCGCTCTGGGAATTGGATGCCACCAGTAAAGGGGCAAAAAGAAATCATCAAGAAATCCACCCCTCCTGCCTGGATTGGGGTGGGCACGTGAGGTTGGTGGCCTCAGAATAAGACTCCTAGCAAGCCAGACAGGCACAAGAATATGTGGAAGGCACTAAAAAAAAAAAAAGATCTAGGTGATCTGGCTACACACTTGGCTTTGCTGCTTACCAGTAGTGACTTTGAGGCCCTCCTCACCCAGAGACAGAGCCTTCATTTCCTCATCTCTAAAAGTGGAAACGACAGGTCTGGCTCTGTTCAGTCGATCAGCTCAAGCTAGTTCTTCCTTTCTTCTCTCTTCTCTCCTTTCTTCCTCCCATCAGCTCACCTTTCCTTGCTCCTCTGTGGAATGCACCAAGCCCTGCCTTTTGCATCTCACCCTCCAGAGAGCTCCACTCGACAGGTGCAACTGCTTCCCTCTTTCTAATAGATGAGAAAATGAAGGCTCAGAGAAGCTCAGGCTCTTTGAGGCCCCACAGAGCAAGTGGGGGGCATGGGATCCCTGCAGGTCATTTCCTTTGTATTCCAGTAGTACTATTTGATCCCCTGCAAGGCCAGAGCTTGGAAGGAGCTGTGTCTGGAGCAAAAGGCTGAGTGATGGGGCAGGAGAGGATGTTGGGTCTTAAGGATAGAGAAGAGTGAGGCTATGACCCCTTGCCTCTAATGCCCACCCTGTCCGGAAAAGGTAAAGGGGCCCGAGGGGCTAGAGCAGGACCCACAGTGTCCCGCTGCTCCTGGCTCTCTCCCTACAGGCTTCACAGACTGCCCCGGTGCTCCCAAAGGAGCCGTGCTGACCAAGCTGGGAACACAAGAGCAAGGCGAGCGGCACCCCACTGCTGGCCTGGCCCAGGGTGCCTCCCTTCCCTTCCCCTTCATCCCAGGGGGCCTGCCTGAGAATGGAGAAGGAAGAGGTATAGACAAAGTGGGCATCCAAGCCAGGTTCTGGCTGAGGAGACCTGCCTCCAGCGGTCTTGGTGGCCACATCCTGGGAAAAGCAGGCAGGAGTGGGGCTGGGAGCTGGCCGTGGACCCGAGCCCTCCTAGGAGACGACTCAGCTGCCAGCCATCGACCGCTGGGCTCCTCCACTCTCTGCCTGCCCCTCGACCAGCACCTCCCTTGCTCCCTGCGTCCCCCAGACCACTCCGTGCCATGCAGATGGTGGCCTCTGTGAATAAACGTTCTTGGTATTCTTTGTAGAATGGGTGTGAGTACTTCAACAGGGCCAATCTGAGGGAGAAAAGGACCCAAGAGACCCGGCCTCCTGCCCCAGTCCTGCCCTCCCACACCACCCTGCCATCCACAATGCAAGGGGAGTCATCCCAGGCTGAAGAGGAGGAATTTGGGATGCTGGAGGCTGCCCGGCTTGGGGCCCCCTTCCAGGCTCACTTCTGGGCCAGGGCCTCTCTCCAAGGTTGACTTCACGTCAACCATCCGAGAAACACACCCATGTTTACTGTGCCCTTCATGTGACTGTGCTCTGGTTCAGGGGTACTCGGGCAGGGTGGGAGAATAGGGGGAAGCCTCCTTCAGGCCAATCCCCTGACCCCAACCTTTCCCTCCATCCTCCCTTCCAAGCCAGCCTTCCCTCCCTCCACAGTGGGAGAGGGCTTCAGCTGTTTGGCTCTCCCCACTTCCTCCAGCCAGTCACCACCCTGGGCAGACTAACACTTCCTACCCTCAGGGGCTCACAGTCTAGCTGAGGACCGACCTGATGCCTCAGGATCCACCCTCAACCCTGACAGCCATCCAGTTCCCCAGGGGGGCTTCCCAGAGTGGGTCACCAGAGCAGGGTTTTGGAGGCTGAATAGGAGTTTACCAGAACATAGGCACAGGGACAGCAGGGGCAGAGACCCAGAGATGGGAATCAACATGGCGAGGTTTGCTACGGCTAAAAGAGACGTGAGGCAAAAGTGTGCCAGCTGGCCAATAAGATGCAGAATCCAGACCCTTTGTGGAGCAGACTCCAGGAAAGAAGGGGTGAGGGGAGCGGGAGGAGAAGGTCTCTCCTGCCTCCAAATCCGCCCTCCCCGCCCCCTCACAATTCACACATACATACATACACAGGCCTTCATTCTCCGTGCCAGAGGAGGGGAGGGGGAGGAGAAGGAGGGGAGGAGGGAGCTGAAATGCAACCTATTCATGTTCCCGCGATGTAACACCCCTCATTTTCCATGCTGGGTAAAGACAAAAACCCTTTACAACCTGTTTCTGGAACTTGTCAGCAGCTGCCAAGAGGAGCATGTTAATTAAACGTCGGCAAAGATGGAAGCTGGAGGCCCCGGCTCTAATTGGACAGTTTGCTTCACCGGATTGAAAAACATTGTGACAAAGGAGGAGGTGCGCGGCGGCGCGGCAGGGGTGCGGCGTGGCGAGGAGGGGAGCGGCGGCTTTGATTTCCGCGGAGCTGGGGCCCCAGCCGCCCGCCCCCGGCCCGGCGGCCCCGCCCAGCGGCACGCCCACGAGGCCCGGGGAGGGGCCTGTCCGCGGGGGCGGGGGCGCGCCGGGGGTGACCCTCCCAGAGCCTGCCCCGGGAGCCCGCCAGTCGTCCGCCCGCAGGGATAGACCCGGAGCAGCACGGGGCTCCGAGGGGCTGGGACGGGTCCCCTCTTCCCCTCGCTCCCCGTTACCCGACCTGGATCCTGGGCGCTGTGCGGGGAGGTCACCGAGGGCAGGGGTCGATCTGTCGCCTCCGTGCTCCCGGCCCTATGGAGGGAGACACCTGGGTCTAGACCCCTGTTGCCCAGACTCGCTCTGCCTCTCCTCTCGTGATCCGGGGCGGCATCTAAAAATTGTTGGCGCCTGCGAGGTTTGTCCTAAAAAAACACCCAGCACTGCAGAGCCTGGCGTTTCCAGCAGGACCACACGGATTCCCAGAGACTGCTCCCCCCATCTGAGTTTGCACCCCCACTTTCCTCCTGGTCTTGACTGCCATGTGATGACAGCAGCCATGGACTGATGCCAGTTGTGTGCGAGGTGCCGTGCTGAGTGCACGAGGCTCCGTCTTTGACCTCTCAGCCACCCTGATGGAAACTTGTTAGCACACCCATCTCACAGGTGGGGAGACTGAGGCCTGGCTGATAAGTAACCCTTCGGAGGTCACAGGGTTATTAAAGATGGTGCTAGAGTGAGACTGGGGCCCAGGTCCCTCTGATTCCAACACCTCAACCTGAGCTCCAGATTGCTCTCTGGCCCAGCCACGTGAAGGGCTTCGGGACTCTGAGAAGAGAGTGGGGTTCCTAAGAGGAGAAGACGCTTCTCAGGACCTCCAGGCTGAGGGCCCTGAAGTATGGGGGTGCAGCAGCCTCGGGGTGGGGGGGTGGTTAACCAGCAGGTCGCTAGGCATGTTCCCTACCGGCTCACGCCCAACTTGCTCCTCCCGGGGGACGTGTGGTTCACTAACAAGGCCAGAGCCCCATCTTCTGTCGCCTTCCGCCTTGGCCCCAGATTTGCCCCCGACCCCACCCTCATCCTGAGCGGCTGCCCAGGGGGAGGGGGGCCTCCATTTGGGGTGGGAAGCCAGGCTGGGGCCTGCGAGAACAAGTATGGGAAAAGGAGCCATTGTGGCTTAGCCTCGGGGATTAAGAGCTACAAAGTGGCTGTGGAGGGCTGAGTTCCCAGGGGGGGTAGACTGGGCAGCCTGTGCCGGAGCTGTCCAGGCTGCCCGCTGGGCCTAATCCCCTGGGAGCTGCAGCCTGAGCCCCAGAAATATAGCTGCTGTGGAGAGAGGGATGCCCTTGATGGGATCACACAGCCCAGAACTGGATGCCCGGAGTGGCCTCTCTGACGAAGGATGGTGATGGGGAAGGACGGGGCGTCCCCACGTGCCCCTTGCCCGGGCAGGGTATCTGTGTGAGACCCTCAAGATAGGGGACCCCATGTGTTAGGAGGTCGCCAATGCCCAACATGTGTCTGAAGTTGAGGGCGTACCTTGAGGGACTGGGGCCCGAGGGCAGCCACTGACCCACTGAGGGTCCCCGACTGAGGACGTGAGGCGCGGACAAAGAGAAGCAGAGCCCCCTCCAGCAGGCCCAAGTGGGTGCTAAGTGTGTGTGTGTGCGTGTGTGTGCGTGTGTGCGCACCATAGAGCAGGGGTGCTTGAGAAAGGCCCTTCAGAGGCGGCTGGAGGGGCTCTGCAAATTGTAATCAGATTAAGGGGGCCAATCACTTAGGGCTCTTGAAAAGGCCACACGGTTTCTAATCAGCCCTGAGCACCCGGCCCACAAAGCCAGGGAGGAGCTCGGCGGGAGCCACCCGCTGGGGGGCCTCCGGGGTGGGGGCCGCTTTCTTCCCTCTCTGTCTCTCATAATTATGTCAATTTGCTAGCCAAATTGTTTGCTCGAGTGGACCAGGGGCTTGTGCCCCATTCATGTGGTAATGTGGGAACCCGAAGGCCTCCTGGCTGGGAAAATAGGAGGTACCCGGACCCTTCTCCGATGAGCAGGCAGGCCTGGGGGTGTGAGGCACCCAGGCCTTGGGGACACCTCCGCACCAGTGCGGGGCTTTTCTCATGAACCCCAGAAGCTTCCAGCTTGAGTTGTGCTCTGGGATGTCCTTTTGGGTCTGAGAAAACAAAGGACGGGGAAGGAGGCAGGGACCCCAGAGGGGACAGAAGAGGTGGCCTCCAGGTTCCATTAGGATGAAGATGGGCAGCTTGCTGTCCCTGTGCCTGATCCGTTGTGGGCCAGGTGGGGTCTTGAGCCGTTAGAGAGCTGCATGGGATCCAAGAAGGGGCAGAGATGGGGTCCTGAAAGAGAGAGCCGCAGCATGCATAGACGGAGACGTGTGGAGACTCAGAGAAAGTTCCTCCCCGTTCACCGAGCCTCCACGAAGGCACCAGCCCACTGTGCACCTCCTTGGCAAACAGTGGCTTATTGAACCAGGGAGGTAGGCACTGGGCTTCCCATTTCACAGACCAAGAAACTGAGGCTCAGAGGAGCTAAGTGACTTGCCCAAAGCCACACAGCTAATAGGTGAGGAACAGAGATTTGAACCCAGCTCTGTCTGATCCCTCTACCCCTCCTGTCTCTCCCCCACTGTGGGAGTTCAGTTCTTCCTTCAAGCAGCAAAAAGGAGACAACAGTCCACTTGGTTGTGTAGGAGGCATGGAGGATGCAGGAGACCAAGATGCCCCAGGGAGGGCACCCTCAGCCCTGGCACACTGTAGGGTGTGCTCCGGTCACTCTCAGCCGAGAGCTGTGGGCACGTGGAAGGGTCAGGCAGGGGATGTGTTGCTTAGGAGACGTCATGGATGTTAGGAACATACCCTGTTTGGGTTCTGCCCCAGAGGCATTCCCCTTCCCTCTGGGCTCCCCTCCTTTCCCCAGACTCTCCCATTTACCCCGGGGATGGCACTCCGACACCGGTTTCTCTGATTATGGGGCCCTGTCCACGCTGGCTGTTTCCTGCTGGGCCCACCTGGCTCGTCAGTGTCCCTCTGGATGTAAGGAGCCTGCTTTCCATCTGTGCTCGCAGGGCGGCTGCCTGACCACGCCCCACCCCTACCCCGACTCTTCCATCCAGGGCTGTTAGGATCTGCCCTGGGGGAAGCTGGCAGAGAGATGGGGTGTAGGGTGGCTTTGGCAGTTGGTGGCAGGGAAAGAGATCTGGGGGAGGGTCTGCAGCCACAGCTGAGCACCTCTCACCCAAGAGGGAGAAAAGGCCAGGGTCCACGTTTATCACTATATGGGACGATGATCAGAAATTCTTCCCAGAGCAAATATACTTCGATGTGCAGTTACCATTTGACCTCCATCGGGCCAGATGCTGGGAGGCAGGGGTGCAGGGAGGCCCCCAACACCATAAGCACAGGCTCCACAGGGAGGCAAGTCCAAGACCACTGACGCAGTAGCTGGTCAGGACAGGATAGGAGGAAAGACTAATAACACACAAAGACTAATAACACACAAAGCCCTACTGTGTGCCGAGCTCACTTCTAGGGACTTGGCCCACAGGAGTTCATTCACTCAGCATACGGCAGGGTCAGCACTTGACCCCCAGGCCTCCGGAGCATGGCTGAAACCGTGACTGCTGCCGCCACTCCTACTCCCCCTTTGAGAATTCTTTCCAGTGTCCCTGCTCTATAGAACCTTCCTGAATGCCATTTCACCACGGGCAAACCTCCCATCGAGCACACATCAGAGGGCATACGCAGCACGTGCCTAGACGGTATACCACACTAGGATACAGCGTCCACAAGGAC